AGAAGCACAGATTCCTCTACCCAAGTCTTAACAAAGAAAGAATTCTTTTTTCAATGCAGTAAAAATCACACCAAGGCTTTATACGTATGAATGCTTTATTAATGATTATTAAGAAAATGTATAATGCAAAGGATATGGTTAACATATCATTCAACTTGGCTAGGCCATGGTACCCAGATATTTGGTCCAACATTACTCTAGATGTTGCCATGAAGACTTTTTTTAAAAATGAGATTAACATTTCAACAAGTAGACCTATTTACCTTCCATAATGTGGGTGGGCCCCATCCAATCAGTTGAAGGCATTAATAGGAAAACACTGACAGCCTTGGAGGGAGAATTCTTCCAGTAGCCAGTCTTCAGACTTGAACGGCAACTCTTCCCTGGGTCTCCAGCCTGCCAGCCTACCCTGTAGTTTTTGAACTTGCCTCCACAATTGTGGGAGCCAAGTCCTTAAAATAAACCTCTCTATACATTCTATTGGTTATTTCTCTGGAGGAACCATGACTAGTACATATAATGTGGTAGGTTATTACTACTGCTCACCAGTATTTCTGGTTGTCTCTCCCCAGTCCATGAAAGGATTATACTTTCCTGAAAACTTAAAGTAAGCCCTGACTGTGTAACTTGCTTTGCCTAATAATGGGGTAGAAGTAACACTAACTTTAAACAACAGGTTTTAGGAGCCAGGGAGTGATTCTTTATGCTCCTCCCTTGCAGCAGCAGGTGCTGAGTCCTCCCTCAGCCTGGCCCCACAGGTGACTGCAATCAGCAGAGTCCCACCTATTTGCCCTGTGTACGTGGAGCATGAGCAAGATCATTAGTTGTTTCAAACCACTGAGATTTCGGGGTTGTGACCAACACACTACTGTGGGTGGAGTACAGGGAGCCCTGTATCCTAGCAACATCCACTCAACTGTACATTTTACATATTTTTAATTTTTTAATTTTTCCAAGTTCAAGAAAACATCTAGTTGACATAAACACTAGTGACTTGAAATACCACATGCACATCATAGTAATAAAAATGCCTCTCTAAAATGTGAACATTTCATAAACCGACCTCTCCTTTAATCCAAATTATTGGTATAATATATTGCCAAGCCCATCAGCATCCATTCCATTATAAAACTTGGAATAAATGAAGCCCATGTGAGTTTGAACATTTGTGTAACCTAGGCATTGAAAACTAGTCTATCCCAACTGTTTCAGAGTTTTAGATTTCATGGAGTTCCTAGAATATCCCTCTGCCTTTCTATCTGCTGTAACTCCCAAATTACTATTGAAGAAAATCCTTCACTGCTGCAGATCAATCAAAACAGGTCTTCAAATAAAAAACATCCAACATGATAGTTCAGTTAAACCACACAAAAGCTGGCTTTTGCCAGGGAGAGGAAAAAGACAAAGTATAAAGATGGGAGGCTGAACTACAAGGGCCCGTGGGTAAATAGGGCATAGTTACGTTCAGATTGCAAAATTATCCAGTCCTGAGTTTATTTGGAATTTCAAGATACAAAAATACAGTTGAGATACTCAAATCTATCTAAAACGTCCAGATTTTTAAAAGAATTCTAACAATTTTGGCCCAATTAAAAAAAAAAAAAGATGGAGAGGACCACTTTCCCCCATAAATACCCAAACCCACAATCTCAGTATGGAAGCTATGAACAATGTTGTATTTCCTTTTTTACCTAACCCCCCTCCCCATAAGGTCTAGCACAGTGCCTGTCTACAGCTGTCATTCAGCAAATGCTAAATAGATTTCTGCTGCCACATTCTCAAATCCCCACTCCCTGGCCACCTCCGACACCTTTTTTTTTTTGAGATGGAGTTTCGCTCGTTACCCAGGCTGGAGTGCAATGGCGCGATCTCAGCTCACTGTGACCTCTGCCTCCTGGGTTCAGGCAATTCTCCTCCCTCAGCCTCCTGAGTAGCTGGGATTACAGGCACACACCACCATGCCCAGCTAATTTTTTTTTTTTTTGTATTTTTAGTAGAAATGGGGTTTCACCATGTTGACCAGGATGGTCTCGATCTCTTGAGCTCATGATCCACCCGCCTCGGCCTCCCAAAGTGCTAAGATTACAGGCTTGAGCCACCGCGCCAGCCCTCCTGCATCTTTTAAAAGAGAGACATAACAGGTATCAGAGAGGGCTGTCTCCACGGTCCTGTCACACATGGCACTTACTACTCTCCCCATCCACTCTTGCGTTCTCACCCCCACTCTGGCTAACTGGACTTTAACAGTGAGTCTAAGTTAGTCGGTCAACAACAGACAGCTATACTGCTGTGCACTGGTGGCACAAGAGACAGCAGCGACTGGAATTAAAGTAGTTGCTGGATATTCAGACCCCAGAGAGGTCAGAACTAATCCTGCCACTCCTAGGTGGTGTCTACCACAATGGTTGGAGGCAACCTTAGCAAAGACAGGCAGAGGCACACCACTGAGCACACAGCCTCCTGAAAGCAGGTCAGTGGGGAGAAAAACCTGCAGTTTGTCTTCGTTTCACCAACAATTTGTGGAGAAAAAAATAACAGTTAATGCAGTTGGGCCGTGGGGAACAGCAAGGCCACAGCCTGGGCTGGGATTTGCCTCCAAATACAAGAGCTAGTCAATACTCTGGAGGGTCATCTGCTCAGAGGACAAAGGTCAGTACAATCACGGGTGTGTCTGCCCACAGTAAGGGATCTTTGGCAATACTGAGGTCACCTGTGAGTCAGTGATTATCAAAGAGAATTTTCCCCCCTAGAGGTTGCTTCTATTGTTACAGATTATTACAGCCTCCAGGGTGATAAGCCTTACACACCATGTCTAATGCTGCTGCACTTTTAGACCTTAAGGAAACCCTGTAAGCATGTTACTATTATTAATTAAGCTTAATTAAGCACTCCTGGCATGCATTCCATATTGCCTTGAGCAGAAAGCTTCAGATGTAAACCATCTTTCAATAACATTCCCTTCCTGAAATGCTGAGATGAGAACATGAAAATCATACCACATGTCTGCCATCTGTATTTGTACTTGTCAACAGCTCTGTTTTGGGATAAACAGTTTTGAAATAAGAATCAATCCAACTTCTTGGAAGATTAGCCAAGGAATAGCTCAAAGACCAAAACAGAATGTGAAGTCAGATAGTCTGAAAATCAAGCACAATTTTGTTTCTCACTAAACACTGTTTTGTCACAGCCCAAGAGAAAGAGCGTGGCAGCCAGGGTTTGGGGGCACAGAGTCAGGGAAAATGTATGTACTCCAGTCAAAAAATTCTTCAACCTAGAACAAATGTCTTTGCTACAATGCAGCTAGAAATCATTCACTGACCCCTAAGAGACTACAGAAAAGAAGAAGGGAGTTTTAGCATTTACACTTTGTTTCACGGTTCTACTATGTGAAGGTATACATAAGGGACAACTTGCACGGGTCCAAGTGCATAATACAGTCCGTTATTACAATAAAAATGGCAGTATTTCCCAAAGTCGATCTTGATTAAAAGTAGTTCCATGGTTGAAAACAGTACTCCACTGTAGAGCTATTAAACTAGAGAGATGGCAAGGGGAAAATAAAGACATATACCAAAAGGGAGGTCAGGGAAGAAGTAAGAAAAAATAGGATGCTACAGACTGTTGGGAGACTACAGTGGAATTGCTTTTAGAGGTGGCTGATGTAAGTGAATGAAGGGACACGATAACCTGCAGCCCCACATAGTCTACAAAACAAATGAGAACATGTATCCTCCACTTGGAGGGCTATCCATTTTCTCCTTAAAGGAACTCATTTATAAAAGAGCAAATTGGTGATTTGTACTCATGGACTGGACCCTTTCCAAGCCCCTGTCAAGAAGTGATAAATTATTGAAGCATAGCATAAAGTGTTTTATTTTTGATGTGCACATGGTAAAACCCTGTGAAATGTTTCTGTTCACCTTTCCCAAGTTATTAATTAAAAAATAATTGTTTCCAATTACTCTCTGATCTTTAAAATAAACCAAGACAAAACACTACATACACCTCTCCAAAATCAGCACTACCCCTTCCCTCCCTCCTTGATCCTGCCCCTACATCCTGCAACCTAGCAGTTGATTCAAGTCATACCACCAGCTCCAGAAACAGGAATGCTATTTAGACTGGGGAGGGAGAGAAGAGGAAGACCAATACAACATTCATACAACTGTCTGGTGTTCATTCACCACAGTGCCCAGATATATTTGTTGTTCCTAGAGACAGCATAAAACTGTTTAGAGAATAAAGCAGGGTTGTGGAAAGCTCATTAATAAATTGTGAAAACCCTCTCAGCAGGAATCACATAATCGGAGGAGCTGACTTGTGCCAAGCAACATAAAGCCTGGTGTTCTGCTCCTGGACAACGTCACCTGCAACACAGCTGATTTTTGAGACAGGGTTCTCTAAAGCCACTTGCTAAGCAAGTTAGGAAAAATTATTTCCCAATCTCAGCTCCACAATTAGAACGTGAATTAGTTTATCAACTCCAGGCTTTGGTTTAATCTGACTGCAAGAGATGTACAGGAATGGTCTCTCCCAAACTGTGTTCATAAACTGAGAGAATAACATTGATGCCAATGCTCCTGAAAGGGAGCAGGTAAACCTAAAAAGTCTAATTGCATAGGAGTCGCAGGGGGACTGGTGACAGGAGTCTAACTGAAATCTTGCTAATCTTTAGGATTTCTTCAGCACCTCGATTCGAATTCCCACTCCTTACGTGCAAGTGCCACTCTTAGCTCTCCAATTCTGTTTCTATTTAAGGTGACTAAATCAGTGGCTGAACCTCTGACCTTGTGGCCCCTTTTTGTAGCTTCAGACGGAAACTGGATGCCTCTGTAGAACATATTCACCCAAGGAGTTTGTATGAACAGAAAAAGATGCAATAAAGGAGGATACCTCTAAAACGTTTTAATTACATGCCCACACAATATATAAAACGTATGCATCATTTTAGGGGGGTAACTAAAGCAAGTCAAATGAAATGACACTCCTTGAAACTTAAGTTACATAATCTTGTAGAAGAGATATATTTTGTTTTTTTTTTATTCTTTTAGCATTCTGTACACTGACAAGAGGTAAAAGAAAATGACTGAAACTTAAAACGTGAAAGAACATTTCACAATTCAATCCACAATTGTAAACATTTATCTTACTCACATGTCAGTGAAAAATCACCAATTATTATAAAAACAGGACAAATTACATCGCAAAAGAAGCAAAAATTAGAAAAAAAAATTCATAAAAAAATATATCCAACTATGAAAAGTGTTGCTCTCTTGGTGTCTTCACATCCTTCTCTTCTGTGTACTGATGTACAACACTGAAAAGAAAAATATACATAAATTGAGAAATATAAAAACCCTGCTTGTAAGTAAACACAGTAGCAAGTTTAAAAGCAAACAGATTGAGGGAGGACTCAAGATGGCGCAGTGGGAACAACCCAGAATTGAAGCTCTCGGTGAATGTGCGGAGAGGGTGAGTCAGGGCCGCATTTCCACACAGATCTTTCTTGCCCACAGAACGGGGAAATTCCCAGGTATAAAAGAGATGTGGGACGCCAGGCAGAGGTTTTGGCTGGTGCAGCCGGCAGCCGGTATGGCCAGCGGCCGGCACTGTAGCACAGTGGCGCTACACAGCGCTCCACACAAAGCGCACTGGTCCAGGTGCCCTGTTGAACTGGCAATCTGAGACTTTAGAGGGCTGAACTTGAGACTGAAAGGGACTTGGACAGTGAGCCAGCCCAGGAGATTCCAGGAAAACAGCATTTGGGGTAGCGCAGAGGGACAAACAAAATGGAGATTCCAAACACTCCCGGTGGAGAGGTTCCCTTAGGGCACAGCTGAACCCAGTACGGTGCAGCTCCGTGGGGGAGGGTCGTCCGCCATTACCGAGGCAATCCGCCCCTACTGAGGTACACGCCCACTGCTGACGCAGCCTGCCATTGCCGAGGCAACCCGCTACAACAGAGAGACTCTGCCGCAGGGCATAGCCCGTGGCAGCAGGGCGGAGACCGCAGCAGAACGGCAGAGCCTGCAGCAACAGGGCGAACCTCACACCAGCAGGGTGGAGCCTCGGCAGGCAAATAGTGACTAGACTGCCTCCTAGCTGGGCAGGACACCACAACGGACACTCACAAAGAAAGCCCCAACACCCCCGAGACAGAGCATCTAAGAAAAAAAGGTTTTTTTTTTATGAGTTCTGTTGCAGCAGAATTAAACGTAGCAGCCTAACAGCCCTGAATGAACAACAGAGCTCACAGCTCAGCACTTGAGCTCCTATAAAGTACAGACTGTCTCCTCAAGCAGCTCCCTGACCCCTCTATATCCAGAAGACTGACATTTGGCAGGCATCATTATGAGACAAAGATAGCAGAAAAAGAAACTGGTACCATCCCTCACTGTTCCGCTCCTACTATAGGTGCACCCCAGACAAGCAGGGCCTGGAGTGAACCTCAGCAGTCGTACAGTGGAGGGGCTAGACTGGTAGAAGAAAAACCAAGTAACAGAAATACTTCATCATCAACAATCTGGGCGTCCACTCAGAGACCCAATCAAAAAGTCAGCAACTACACAGACGACAGGTGGATAAATCCACAAAGATGGGAAGAAAGCAGCGCAAAAAGGAGGAAAACACCTGAAACCAGAACACCTCGCCTCCTACAAAGGACCAAAACTCCTCACCAGCAAGGGAACAAAGCTGGACAGAGAATGACTGTGACGAAGTGACGGAATTAGACTTCAGAAGGTGGATAATGAGAAACTTCTGTGAGCTAAAAGAACATGTTTTAAATCAATGCAAAGAAATTAAAAACCTTGAAAAAAGATTTGAAAAAAGATTCGAGGAAATCATAACAAGAATGGATACCTTAGAGAGGAATATGAATGAATTGAAGGAGCTGAAAAACACAATACGAGAACTTCGCGAAGCATGCACAAGTTTCAACAGCCGAATTGACCAAGCAGAAGAAAGAGTATCAGAAGGCGAAGATCAACTCAATGAAATAAAACGAGAAACCAAGATCAGAGAAAAAAGCGCAAAAAGGAATGAACAAAGTCTCCAAGAAATGTGGGACTATGTGAAGAGACCTAACCTACGTTTGATAGGTGTACCAGAATGTGACGAAGAGAATGAATCCAAGCTGGAAAATACTCCTCAGGATATTATCCAGGAAAATTTCCCCCACCTAGCAAGACAGGCCAACACTCAAATGCAGGAAATACAGAGAACACCACAAGGATATTCCACAAGAAGAGCAACCCCAAGGCACATAATCGTCAGATTCAACAAGGTTGAAATAAAGGAAAAAATACTAAGGGCAGCCAGAGAGAAAGGTCGGGTCACCCACAAAGGGAAGCCCATCAGACTCACAGCATATCTCTCGGCAGAAACACTACAAGCCAGAAGAGAGTGGGGGCCGATATTCAACATCCTTAAAGAAAAGAACTTTCAACCCAGAAATTTCATATCCAGCCAAACTGAGCTTCAGAAGTGAAGGAAAAATAAAATCCTTTGCGAACAAGCAAGTACTCAGAGAGTTTGTCACCACCAGGCCTGCTTTACAAGAGCTCCTGAAAGAGGCACTACACATAGAAAGGAACAACCAGTACCAGCCATTCCAAAATCACACTCAATGCTAAAGAGCATCAACATAATGAAGAATCTACATCAACTAATGTGCAAAACAGCCAGCTAGCATCCAAATGGCAGTATAAAATTCTCACATAACAATATTAACCCTAAACGTAAATGGACTAAATGCACCAATCAAAAGACACAGACTGGCAAATTGGATAAAAAGCCAAAACCCATCAGTGTGCTGTATCCAGGAAACCCATCTCACATGCAAGGACACACAAAGGCTCAAAATAAAGGGATGGAGGAAGATTTACCAAGCAAATGGAGAGCAAAAAAAAGCAGGAGTTGCAATTCTCATCTCTGATAAAATAGACTTTAAAGCAACAAAGATCAAAAGAGACAAAGAAGGCCATTACATAATGGTAAAAGGATTGATACAACAAGAAGAACTAACGATCCTAAACATATATGGACCCAATACAGGAGCACCCAGATACATAAGGCAAGTTCTTAATGACTTATAAAGAGACTTAGACTCCCACACAATAATAGTGGGAGACTTTAACACTCCACTGTCAATATTAGACAGATCAACCAGACAGAAAATCAACAAGGATATCCAGGGCTTGAACTCAGACCTGGAGCAAGCAAACCTGATAGACATTTACAGAACTCTCCACCCCAAATCCACAGAATATACATTCTTCTCAGCACCACATCACACCTACTCTAAAATTGACCACATAATTGGAAGTAAAGCACTCCTCAGCAAATGAAAAACAACTGAAATCATAACAGTCTCTCAGACCATAGTGCAATCAAGTTAGAACTCAGAATTCAGAAACCAACCCAGAACTGTACAGCTTCATAGAAACTGAACAACTGGCTCTTGAATGTTGATTGGATAAACAATGAAATGAAGGCAGAAATAAAGAAGTTCTTCAAAGCCAATGAGAATGAAGACACAACATGCCAGAATCTCTGGGACACATTTAAAGCAGTCTCTAGAGGAAAATATATAGCAATAAGTGCCCATATGAGGAGAATGGAGAGATCCAAAATTGACACCCTATTGCAAAAATTGAAAGAGCTAGAGGAGCAAGATCAAAAAAACTCAAAACCCAGCAGAAGACAAGAAATAACTAAGATCAGAGCTGAGCTGAAGGAGATTGAGACACGAAAAACCCTTCAAAAAATCAGTAAATCCAAGAGCTGGTTTTTTGAAAAGATCAACAAAATAGACAGACCACTAGCCAGATTGATTAAAAAGAAAAGAGAGAACAACCAAATAGATGCAATAAAAAATGATAAAGGGGAAATCACCACAGATTCCACAGAAATTCAAACCATCATCAGAGAATATTACAAACAACTCTATGCACATAAACTAGTAAACCTCAAAGAAATGGATAAATTCCTGGACTCCTGTGTCCTCCCAAGCCTAAACCAGGAGGAAGCTGAAACTATGAATAGACCAATAACAAGGTCAGAAGTCAAGGCAGCAATTAAGAGCCTACCACACGAAAAAAGCCCAGGTCCAGACGGGTTCACAGCCGAATTCTACCAGACACACAAACAGCAGCTGGTACCATTCCTTCTAAAACTACTCCAAATAATCCAAAAAGAGGGAATCCTTCCCAAATCATTTTATGAAACCAACATCATCCTGATACCAAAACCCGACAGAGACCCAACAAGAAAAGAAAACGTCAGGCCAATATCCATGATGAACATAGATGTAAAAATCTTCAATAAAATATTGGCAAGCCAATTGCAACAGCAAATCAAAAAACTTATCCATCATGATCAAGTAGGATTCATCCCGGGGATGCAAGGCTGGTTCAACATATGCAAGTCTATCAACGTAATTCACCACATAAACAGAACCAAAAACAAAAACCGCATGATTATCTCAATTGACGGAGAGAAGGCATTTGACAAAATTCAACAGCCCTTTATGCTAAAAACCCTCAATAAACTCGGTATCGATGGAACGTATCTCAAAGTAATAAAACCTATTTATGACAAACCAACAGCCAATATCATAATGAATGGGCAAAAACTGGAAGCATTCCCTTTGAAATCCGGCACTAGACAAGGATGCCCTCTTTCACCACTCCTATTCAATATAGTACTGGAAGTTCTAGCCAGAGCAATCAGGCAAGAAAAAGAAATAAAGGGTATTCAAATAGGAAAGGTGGAAGCCAAATTGCCTCTATTTGTAGACGACATGATAGTAAACCTAGAAGACCCCATCGCCTCAGCCCAAAAACTCCTGAAACTGATAAGCAACTTCAGCAAAGTCTCAGGATATAAAATTAATGTGCAAAAATCACAAGCATTCGTCTACACCAATAACAGACTTAAAGAAAGCCAAATCACGAACGAACTGCCATTCACAATTGCTACAAAAAGAATAAAATACCTAGGAATACAACTCACAAGGAACGTAAGGGACCTCTTCAAGGAGAACTACAAACCACTGCTCAACGAAATCAGAGAGGACACAAACAGATGAAGAAACATTCCATGTTCATGGTTAGAAAGAATTAATATCGTGAAAATGGCTATACTGCACAAAGTAATTTACCGAATCAACGCTATCCCCATCAAGCTACCATTGACTTTCTTCACAGAACTGGAAAAAACCACCATGAACTTCATATGGAACCAAAAGAGAGCCCGCATAGCCAAGTCAATTCTAAGCAAAAAGAACACAGCGGGGGGCATCACACTACTGGATTTCAAACTATACTACAAGGCTACAGTAATCAAAACAGCATGGTACTGGTACTAAAACAGAGATATAGACCAATGGAACATAACAGAGGCACCGGAGGCAACACAACATATCGACAACTATACAATCTTTGATAAACCTGACAAAAACAAGCAATGGGGAAAGGATTCCCTGTTTAACAAATGGTGCTGGGAAAACTGGCGAGCCATGTGCAGAAAGCAGAAACTGGACCCCTTCCTGACACCTTACACTAAAATTAACTCCAGATGGATTAAAGACTTAAACACGAGACTTGGCACGATAAAAAAACTAGAAGGAAATCTAGGCAAAACTATCCAGGACATAGGAGTAGGCAAGGACTTCATGAACAAAACACCAAAAGCATTGGCAACAAAAGCCAAAATAGACAAATGGGACCTAATCAAACTCCACAGCTTCTGCACGGCAAAAGAAACAGTCACTAGAGTGAATCGGCAACCAACAGAATGGGAAAAAAATTTTGCAGTTTACCCATCTGATGAAGGGCTGATATCCAGAATTTACAAAGAACTCAAACGGATTTACTGGAAAAAAACAAACAAGCCCATTCAAAAGTGGGCAAAGGATATGAACAGACACTTTACAAAAGAAGACATATATGAGGCCAACAATCATATGAAAAAATGCTCATCGTCACTGGTCATCAGAGAGATGCAAATCAAAACCACATTGAGATACCATCTCACGCCAGTTAGAATGGCGATCATTAAAAAATCTGGAGACAACAGATGCTGGAGAGGATGTGGAGAAAAAGGAACACTTTTACACTGTTGGTGGGAGTGTAGATTAGTTCAACCATTGTGGAAGACAGTGTGGCGATTCCTCAAGGCCTTAGAAATAGAAATTTCATTTGACCCAGCAATCCCATTACTGGGTATATATCCAAAGGACTATAAATCGTTCTACTATAAGGACACATGTACACGAATGTTCATTGCAGCACTGTTTACAATAGCAAAGACCTGAAATCAACCCAAATTCCCATTGATGATAGACTGGATTGGGAAAATCTGGCACATATACACCATGGAATATTATGCAGCAATAAGAAATGATGAGTTTGTGTCGTTTGTAGGGACATGGATGAATCTGGAGAACATCATTCTCAGCAAACTGACACAAGAACAGAAAATGAAATACCACATATTCTCACTCACAGGCGGGTGATGAAAAATGAGAACACATGGACACAGGGAGGGGAGTACTAAACACTGGGGTCTATTGGGGGGAAAAGGGGAGGGCCAGCGGGAGGGGGAGCTGGGGAGGGATAGCCTGGGGAGAAATGCCAAATGTGGGTGAAGGGGAGAAAGGAAGCAAAACACACTGCCATGTGTGTACCTATGCAACTGTCTTGCATGTTCTGGAAATGTACCCCAAAACCTAAAATGCAATAAAAAATTTAAAAAATAAATAAATAAATAAAAGCAGACACATTTTGGTCGGCTACATCTGACATTTAAAAGGAATTTTTGTATCATTCAATTAACTCTGGAAGTACTAGTTTTATCTATATCCGAGTTTGATGTCTTATAAAACTGTATCGTAATCTTATCCATGTGTCTGCGTGACTCTGCAAAGTGTGACCATGAAGACAAATAAAATATATGTGAAAGTCTCTGGCATCTAAGAATGCTTTACAGTTAGAAGTGCAAGAATTATGCTTTTCCAGGCTGAACATGGTGGTTCACGCCTGTAATCTCAGTACTTTGGGAGGCCAAAGCAGGTGGATCACTTGAGCTCAGAAGTTCAAGACCAGCATGGGCAACATGGTGAAATCCCGTCTCTACCAAAAATACAAAAAATTAGCCAGGCATGTTGGTATACGCGCCTGTAGTCCCAGCTACATGGGAGGCTGAGGTGAGAGGATCACTTAAGTCTGAGAGGTAGAGGCTGCAGTGAGCCAAGATTGCACCACTACCCTCCAGCCTGGGTGACATAGAAGACTTCATCTCAAAAAACAAACAAACAAACAAAAAACAAGATGTTTTCAGAAAGTAAACCGGTCAATCCACCTACCAGGCTAGATCTCAAATTAAGAATAAAGAGCATATTTCCATCTCTCTCTCCAACGCAAACTCTAAACTTGCTGATTATCTTCTTAATTGCAACAGGATAAACAAGAGCAGGATTTTTTGATTTTTTTTCTTTTTAATGATATCAAAGTCCTTTTTCTGAGTTCCTGTTAAGGTCTCATACTTTGGTGTTACCCAATATTCTGCTTAGCTGGTCCTCTCACGACTACCAACCTGAACTCTTAGGATGTATGGTCTGTAGGAATGAAACAAAATGGAATGTCTGGGTCACTTTGGCCAAGTTTCACTAGAGTTGGCTCTCCCTTCCACCCTCCATGCCTATTCGGCTTCTGAGAGGTCTGCTCAAAGTAGGATGTCTTCATCAAAGAACATAGCACAGCCCAATCAAATAAGTCAAGATCCTCTTTAAAAGCCAACGATGTGAACTTGGGAGTCTAAAGATGAATGTTACTGATTACATCACAGGAAATGTGACAGGAAGGGAAGCATCAGAATGCCCATACAACCACCCTCCACTCTGCCCCTCAAGTCCTAGGTGTAGTGTGCATGTTAAAGGATCCAACCCCTACTAACATGCACAGAAGCCAACCTGTCGGTGACTGCTGCCATTAGCTGTCTTGAGGTGAGAAAAGAATTCTATCATTTCTTAGGAAAAAGAAGAAGTCAAATAAGGATATGAAAAATAGGATAAATAATTCTATAAATAGGAAGGACTAGAAAACCAAGAGATCATATATATAAAAATATAATCTGAAGAAACATGGTACAGTAAGCACAGGGGACAGAATCTATTATAAAAGTCAGGAAGTTTAGTTCATAGCAAGGAGATTCAACTATTTAGGGAGTTGAAGACATCCAGAATTAAACAAATCAATAAAAAATCTGAACTCAAGAATCCCAGAGTTTCATTTGGGAGAATGAACCAAAAGTGGGGTAATTCTCATACTTCTGATGTCTTTCCTTCCCCACCAAAAATACAAATATGACTTAATTATAATTTTCATGTTGAAACTAGGTACTTAAAAATAACTACAAAAATCACAGCAATTAGTTGTTTAAAAAAACCGAGAAACTTTAAACTAGTTTTTCTACTTTGCCATTTTTGCCAAACCAAAAGGTACAAATCTCCATACATTTGAAAGTTTAATAAAGAAGGGACAAATAAGATGAAATGCCAAATTATGCAAATCAAAGACATCAAGGAAATGGTGCCCATTCTTATAGCTCCAACTTCCAGGCTACGAGAAGCAGGAATATGTGCTGGGGAGACACAGTAAATGATATTTGAGGGAGCAGGGTTCCGGGTCAAGAGACCAATGTCCCCCATTTCCTCATCACTAAAGGAAGGGAAGGCGAAAATTTTAGTTTCAAAATTCTATGAGGCATTTAAAAAATAACTGGTCAAACTGAAGATCTGACATATAAGCATTTTAAAATAAGCCTAAAACTGTACTTTAAAATTATCTAGAAAACTCTTTAGTGATCTGGATTATAAACAAAAAGGCTTATTTTGGATCCTGTACTGCAGGGTGAAGAAATGTTACCATTGTTTCCTCGGATAAATGCGTCCCCATACTTATTCTTCAGTTGTCCATTTACATATTCCTCTGTCTGCTCCAGGGCTATATTCATGTAGCCATCCAGGCAAGCCAGGACCCCTGCAGACAGTCAAAAAGAAGATACACAAGAAAAGTAAGAGTTGAAAATTACAGGGTATACCTTAGAGCAGACTATCTCTTTGTTCATCAGCTCTCAGATGCTTAACATAAAAATTCACACAATAAATGAAACTCAGTAGCTTAAGCACAAAATAACTCTATGCCAATCTGAATGAAGGCTAGGAAGGCAGTCATGCACCCACTACTAACCGGTAAAACAACAAACCGTCACTTCCCTCATGGCATGTATGACCACACAGCAAAAGAATATTCCAACAAAAATACCGTTCTTTGAAAACTAAGCACAAGGTGGGCAATTATGCATGAACAAATGATCTCAGGTTCCAGAGGCATTTCCTACTTTAGCCACTAAGTGAAACATGGGTCTAGCAGATTTATTTCATTCTTTCACATCTACTGCAGCAGATGAATGTACTCCAGGGTTAAGAGAAGTCTCCACAATCTGTTAAAATAATAGAAGAGGAGACAGCAGGTGCTCCCGAAAGAACATCTTAAAGCTGTGACTCAGAGTGAAGAGCAGCTTGAGAATATAGGGCAACATATTGCATTATAACACATCTTGGTCTGTTTTGTTACAGCTGTAATATTTTTCAATCAAAACTAATAGAGAAAATGGCCAAAAAAATTTGAGGGAGCTTTCAAGGAAACAGGTTGAGTGAATCTTTAATTGTGTTAAGATGGTATAAATTTTATTAAATTTGACCTGATGATCTTTCTCAAAAGATGAAAATCTGTAAGCCTCTAATTCTGTCTCTAATGTAAAGTGGTATTTTCCAGAGAAAAAAAAATTAAGTAAAAACAAATACTAGACTCAATTGAATTAGACGAGTCTATAGTTTCTCATCTGATGTCTTCACTTGATTAATATGCTCCTCACTCTCTGTCTCTGCCCCTATTATCCTCTAAACAAAAAAAGTTTCCTTTCAAAATTGTGTCTATAATGACAGCTTAAGCTGTAAACTCTCAAAGAACCAGAATGGACTGTGAATAATAACAATTATTTCTTAGCAAAAGAAAGCTTAAGATACAACTTTAGCTCATTTCCTGCTGTATTATTTTACATATAAACCACAATTATAAATAAGCAAGAAACTTCTGAGGCAAGACAGGCAAGTTTGAAAACTAATGAAAAGATTTCAAAATGAAATGTCCAGGCTGGGCACGGTGGCTCATGCCTATAACCCAGTACTTTGGGAGGCAGAGGCAGGTGGATCACTTGAGGTCAGGAGTTCAAGAACAGCCTTGCTAAAATGGTGAAATCCTGTCTCTACTAAAAATACAAAAATTAGCCAGAAGTGGTGGCAGGTGCCAGTAATTCCAGCTACTCAGGAGGCTGAGGCAGGAGAATCTTTTGAACCTGAGAGGAGAATCGTTTGAACCTGGGAGGCAGAGGTTTTAGTGAGCCAAGACTGCGACACTGCATTCCAGCCTGGGCGACAGAGTGAGACACCATCTCAAAAAAAAAAAAGTTCACGTCTAATTAAAATGTCTATTCTATTCTCATAGCAAAGGCTAAAAAGAAAAAACAAAAAACAAAAATCCACACACTAACAAACTGCCCAAAAGGTTAGAAATACAACCCTTTCCTTCTTCATGAGATAAATCACTATACATAACCAAAAACAAGGCATTTTCTTAAAGAGAAATTGCTACAGAGAGTTGATGGAGGTTTTTTTTTTTTTTGGTATGTTGTTATTGTTTTGTTTTGGGCTTTTATCAGTGTTTTGTAAACCATAAAATAAGCATGGTCCTTTAGTAAGGCTAATAGTAAAAAATATTTTGCTTTATTAGTACAAAGGCCATGAAGAGACATGAGGAAAGAAAATTAGGGTTACTATCCATGTGAAAGACTCCTGAATCTCACTAGTAAACAAAGAAAATATATGTAAAATGAGATATTACTTGTTGCCAAGTATTAGATTAGAAAAGATGAAAAAGCTAATACAAGAGTTGGTGAGAATATGTAGGATAAACCCAGGTTCACTGATGCAGGGCCATGGAATACTCTGATTGTAAATCCTAGCCCAGGGAATTGATTCTAAAGAGATGCTTGGTCAAGCGTTCACAATGTATGTCAAAGTAAAACAGTTGTTTACAGTAGTAAAAAACTGGTCAACACCTAAAATGTCCATTAATAGGAAATTTGTTAAAAATAAAAACAAAACTATTGTACAGCCACACAAACCTTTATACTGTCACAAAACTAAATGTATTGTTTCATGTTTAAAAAAAAAAAAAAAATCAGGTTTCATGTACAGCTGATTCCATTTACATCAAATTATGCTTATATAGAGGTCAAAATTGGTAAACTCTTTGGATGGTAGCATTGGAGAGACTTTGCTTTCTTCTATATACTTGTTTCTTTTATTTTCTTTTAAATTTCTAAAATTAAAACTAAAACATGTATTGCCTTTATAAACAGAAAAATTTTTCTTAAAGAGTATAGAGAAAAAAGATCAGGCTGGTTCATCTCTTCAATAAAGTGGATACTGAGAAGATACTGAACACAATGTCCTCACTTTAATCAGTTGTCAAGCAGACTAAAATCCCTAGAAATCTATCACTTCCTATGGGCTCATCAAAAGTTCACAGGTAGAGGCAGTAAATTGAGACATTGTAGTATCTCAGTATTCAGTATAAATCCATTAGTTTTACTATAAAAATAAAATTAAACTGGAGATATGTTATTAGTGTCAAGAAGCTAAAGGAGTACATAATCACCAGAGTGCTTTCTTAACAAGGCTTATGAGCCAAGCCTGAACTCGAGTCCTAGCTCCTCCCTTACTAGGTGGGGATACTCAATAGAGATTTCAAAGGAAAAAGCTTGAGAGATTACTATCATTATTAATTATTCAGAAAAGAGACCAAGAAAAGGCAACAAAACCCTGTGCTATGGTTTGAATGTGTCCCTTCCAAAATTCAAGTGTTTGGCAATAAGACGGTATTAAGAGGTGGGGCCTTTAAGAGGTGAGTGGACCATGAACACTTTCCCATTCATGGGATGAAGGCCCACATAAAAAAAGGCTTCATACAGTATGCTGGCTTGCCCTCTGCCTTCTGCCACCTAAGGACTCAGCATTCCATCCTTTCCGGAGGATGCAGCCCGCCAGACAACTGAACCTGCTGGCATCCTGATCTTGGATTTCCTAGCCACCAGAACTGAGAGAAAATAAACTTCTGTTTTTGAAAATTACCCAGTATAGTGTACAGTGCTTGGATGATGGATGCACAAAACCACCGCTAAAGAATGTACACATGTAGCCAAAAACCACCTGTACTCTAAGGAAATAAATTTAAAAATGCAAAAAATAAAAATAGGAATTACCCAGTCTGTGGTATTCTGTTATAGCAACCCAAGAGACCAAGTCACTCTGCTAATGAATTAGTTAGCTACACCTGTGAAATATTTCAGGCACCTTAACATATCTTAGTTGCGAAAAATAAGGAATTTATTAACTTTAAAAAAATGGAATTTGACACCATTCTTCCTATAAAGTTAATTTCAAAAGCATCACAGCCTCTTAAAAATAATATTTTCTCCAAGAACAGAAAGGCATCTTTGGATACTTCACATATAAGTTACATGAGTGGGACACTCAGGTTGTAAAATGATACTCAATAGCTGCTTGCCAATTTTGAATACTCCTGCAAAAACAAATGCTGCTGTACCAAGGTGTTCTTCAGTTGAGTTGTTCATCCCTGAGTCAACTAGGAATATCTGGTTATTACCATGTAACTTAGGCAAACACGATCTCAAAGCAGAGACAGGAGACAGAAGTCACACAAATCACACAGAAAGGCAGAAACAGCACACGCTATACTGCCAGAGCTGTCCCTCTAGCAGGAATGATCTCAGAGGCAGAAAAAGAGATGTGCATAAGAACTGCTGAGGACCAGTACTTTTTTGGTCTATCAGGTATATTTAAGAGGTTAATAAAAATCAGTACGTCACATTTACTTATTCAGTTACATCATGAGGATGAAACATAAAAATATTACCTCGATAATCCACTCCAGAATTTAATTTTACCACAACCGGTCGTCCAATGATTTGCTTTAAGAAGTCACTAGGGGTTTGCTTCCGAAGACTCATTTTAACAATCCTAAATCAAAACATGGAAAGGGGTAATAAAGGTAAAGACAAAAGCTGATTAGTCAACAAAACCCTTAAAGCCCTCAGTATTTACAGAAAACGAAGTCTCAAATAACCATGCAAGAAGACTCATTATTACTCCACTACTACTACATGACAGCTAACATGTTTTCAGCACTTACTATGAGCCAGTTACTAAGCTAAACATTCTACATGATCTTATTCAGTTCCCACAACACCATGGCATAGCCTCATTAGAGAAAAGTCCTGTGTGTACAAAGCACCTGCTCTTAATCACTTATCACTATTGCCTAACACATAGTCAGTATACCCATTACAACCACTACCACAGCTCCATTAGTGAATGGTTGGTTATTCTATGCAGAGCATTCTACTAAGGTTTTTATAAACACGATCACATTTCATCTTTACAAGAACCCTGGGAAGAAGGTCTTAATACCCTCATTTTGCTGATGAAAGGCACAGAAAGATTAAATAATTTGTTCCAAAATGTGATGGAACATTCAAGTTCAAATCAGTCCTATTTTAAGTCTTTATTGTATAGGACAGACACATTTATAAACTGATGCCTAAATGGTATCTCTGAAAAGAATAATAAATATAAAGGTAATTTTGAGTGTACCATATGCCAGCACTTTTCCAAGAACTTTGCATGTATTAATCCATTTAAACTGCTCTACCCTAAAAGGCAGGTATTGTTTTTATCCTCATTTTACAGATGAAGAAAGACATAGAAAGATTAATCACTCTGCTCAAGGTCACACAGCCAGAAAGTGGACAGCCAGCCCATATTCTTAATCACAACCTTAAACAGCCTTCTGAAAGTCACTATCACAGCCAAAGATTTTTAATTAGTCTATTATGACTATAGCAGATATGGGCTCTAAATAATGAAGAAAAAACAGTCTAAAATGTAAGTATAAAAGGAGTCTAAAATAGAAAAAGAGACAGCATTACACACCCAAATCAACAGTATCAGACATGGAAAGCTGCACATCATTCCTTTCAAAATGCATCTTTTCTTGTACAATAGCTATCTCTTTCAAAATATGTTGGCAAATCAACAAAATTGTAGCTAAGCAAAAACTGAGTAAAAATATTTTAGAAATTAATGTTTCTATTTCAGTCAAATTCAGCATCACTTATTATTCAGCAGCTATATAGCACTGAAACTTAAAACTTAGTACAGATACAATATTTTAAGAATTCCCTTCAAGAACTCAAGCTGTTCTTTTGTTTTCAATGAAATTTTTTCATTAAACATTCTTCTATTAATAACACTGCTTAATTCACTCTAAGTCCATCCACTCAATACTCTGGATTTGTGTGTAGAAGGATTGTTTGGAGATATTCTCATAGTGAATTCCTACAGGATCAGCAGTTGGAGTAAGTGGGAACTCTAGGTTATCTGTTTTTCATTTGTTCAACAAATATGTACATGTACACACTGAGCAAGGAAATTCAAAAACATGTCATACACAAAGGCTCTGGCCTTAAACTTAAAATCTAGAAGAATCTAAACTCTTGTTTAAAGAGTGTGAGTAAACAAAAGCAATCATAATTTAAGTAAATTAATTTTCTTTAGCCAAGAAAAGTCAACATCCTAAATCAAATAAAATATACATTTCAGAAATTATTGTTGAATTTTAGGCTATCATTTGGACAATCTACACTGCCCCCAGTGCTTGAAAGATGTTTTCAAAATGCAATCAACTAATTATTTTGCTTGACAAATGTTAATTTAACTTTTTCATTGAATTTCCAGCTTATTTTTTTTAGCTCCACAATCTCAACAGATAACTACAATTACAATTACTATTCAGGACAACCACTTTTCATTCGGGACTCAGATAACACAGCAATTTTATTTATACTGTTCTGAGTACAAAGAGAAAAATTACAAAGTAAATACTGTAACATATTCAGTACCTTTAATGAGTTTAGTGAAAATCCACAAATATTCCCATTCATCTATAAACTGCCTTATTTGCATTTTGAACACGTGCTGTTTTGTGGCTGAACACAACTAGAGAGAATATTAACTCTGAAGGCCTCATACTCAACTGATGAGTCAGGTTCATTTCCTACAACGGATGTTAAATCCCATTATGCCACAGTTTTATCACGTATAAAACTGAGATGGAAGTAGCTATTCTTTGTTAAAGACCAGTAAGATGCATTGTAATGTGACTTTATTTCACAGAAATATTATTAACTACTTTAATTATTACTAATTTCACCTACACATAGAGTATTTACAGTTTGAGATTAAAAACATAAAGCAAAAGCTGGAAGGAGAGTTAGTAACTGTCAAAAAAAAAAAAAAGAATGCAAATCTTGACTATCAGTTGCTTGACAGTATAGGTTATTTTAAAGGTATTTTTAATATTAACTTTCCACACCTTTTTAAAAACAGAGATAGGTTTTTCTAAGCTCACTAAAGATAACGCCTTGTCCAATAATGCCTTATCTGTATTCCAATTAACATCAATCGCTTCTGAAGGCAATCAACACTTCCAACTTTCACAGAGCACCTGTTAGGTGTCAGGCACATGGGGCCGCAGAATGTTAACACAAAGACAAGGCCTTAAGCCCTCAGAGTTCACATTCTAGAAAGGGCAAAAAAACATGTAAATGGAGAATTTTACAAAGGTGATGTGTATTCTGATAGAATTTTGCACAAATGAGGGCAGAGAACACTCTCTTATCCCAGGCTTGGCAGATCAAAGAATTTCTGCAGGTAATACCTGAGCTGAGTGAAGGAAAAGGCACCATCGCCCAGCTGAAAGAAGTCAGGAAAGGCAGGGAACATGTGTCTGGGTAGAAGGCAAAATCTACATAGGGAAGGAGGAAACACCTCTGCGGTAGGGAGCTGCACCACATTCATAGTGAGCACGGACTTGAGGCTCTAGGTCAACTTCCCAAACTTGAATCATTAGGATCAGCTGGAGATTCTACTCAGTTCTTGGGTAGAAGCCAGGAATCTGTTTGAACAAGCCTATGAAATAACTGGCAAGGGGAAATACTGTTGTCAATGATAGGAAAACAGGGGTTTTAAGCAGGAACTTGCTTGGGTTCCACTTTCTACTTTCCAAAGCAGAGTGGAGATGCCCATCTCACCTAGTTTTGGCATCACAGTTTGGTATTAGATTTTGCTTGCTATAAATCAAATTACTTGCTATATAACCTGTCACTATGCACTCTTTTGTATTCTTTTCCTGGGTCTTTTCTCCCTCAAAATACTGTAAGCCACATGACAAGAGGGGCTGACAAGCTTCTCATCTGTTCTCTAGAATATCTACATTCTACTAAATCTCTGGGGAAAAAAATACTTTTAAGGTTATTTGGAAAAGAGTATATGGGCTGCCTCAAACACATTTTATCCATCACTTTAGGAAAGCCATATCTTTTACATTAGTCTTCATTAGGCTTCCTCGGTACTCCCTGTTACTTAATGACTTGCCCATAAATCCATTTTGTATGAGTAAATTGGTCTTGACACCACAATTTTTCCCATCACTTGGCTCAAGTAATTTTAAGTTTTCATCTTTTAAATTGGATAAGGCAGAAGGAACAGTTCTGACAATTTCTGAAGCAAGAGATAAGACTCTTGAACCATAAACACATAAGAGGAAAAAGACCTTTCTTCAGGGTCACCTTGGTAAAACTTCTCCATTCAAAATTAAAGTCATTATCACTCTCTATACCGCCTCTCCCTCCCCTGACTCCTACTCAGGCTTGTTTTAAATGACCTATTTTCATAAATGGCTATTAAGTCAAAGGCAGTATATTTTCTGTCAGAAGCTACTGAGAGGTCTAGTATGAGAACCTTTACAAAGTGCCCTGCAGAGAATTTTTTTCTTTTTGGTAAAAGAGTGAAGAATGAACTTTTATTAATCCAACTATGTGCTACTAGTGTTAGATTCATAAGCAATTTATAGAGAAACCCCGTGAGGTGGAAAGCAAAGCCAAGGTTGACCTCAAAGCCCAAGCCCTTTCTGTACAGCTGCTTTTCTGAATACGTTAAGATTCCCTGGTTAAATCTTGGGGAATCACAATACAGGTGGTGAAAAACCTAATTGGAGAGTACTTTCGCTGGGAAAAAAAAATACCTAACATGACAAAGTACTAGAAATTAGCCTCAAAGAAATGTAATGGCCAAACACAAAGAAATGCATCTAATGTGATCTAAGTTATGCCGCCGAGTAGAAGAGATGAAAACCCTTATTTCTTGGCAATGTTTACCTGTAAGTTTTTACCTACTCTAGAGTACTTAACAGTTTAGCGTGGAAAAAATTGAAAAGCAAAAATTGCAAGGAAACAACATTAGAACCCAAGTAATTGCAGCGTGATACTAAGATAGCAGTGTCTGACGAGGCAATCAGACACCGAGGACAGCTCTCTAAATTCCTCCCTCTGACACAGTGGAGAGCCGGGCTGTCTTTTGAAGACAATCCCTCCTTCCCGAGCAGCTGGGGCCTCTTCTCTCCCTCTCTTCCAAAGGCGAAGTTAGTCCACTGAAAGCACCTCTTTCCACTCTCAGTCGTGGCCCTTATCAGGCCGTTTTGTAATGTTTCCATTTGCTGACTGATCTCCCACAGTGAATTTTAAGCTTCTTGGGGACAGGGAAAATATCTCACTCACTTGGTAACCCTGGTATCTAAGCATACTGTCCAAGTCTGTGGAAGTGACATTCAAAGCCAGTGTCAAGCAAAATTCCTGTCCAGCCCCCACCAGCCCAAACTATGGGTACAGTGACTAGTAATATCAAGTGTGTACTTCAACAAATACTAATCAAGTAATCTCTATAATGAGCACCAAAGACGGAGAAAACAACTGTTTCTGTCATTCAAGAACCAGCTGTATCCAAATCTAGAGATGCTTGTTAAAATGCAAATTCCTGAATCTACTGAGGCAAAGGCACTATACATTACATTATAAAGTTCTCCAGATAATTTCTATAAGCAAATGGTTCTCAACTAGGGGCAATCCCCCCTGTCCTCCCCCACCATGCTCAGGGACAGCTGGAAATATCTGGGGACACCATGAACTCTCATGACTGAGGAAGGTGGTGCTACTACTATACTAGTGAGTACAGACCAGGGATGCTGCTAAACATTTTACAATGCACAGGACGGCCCTCCACAACAAATGCGTCCAGGCCAAAAAGTCCATGGAAGTTGAGAATCTCTGCTATAAGCCCTAAAATAAAAAAAATTTAAAAACCAGCAACATTGTTCTTTGGCCTTAAAGTGAGGAGTTTTAAAGAAATCTCCCAAATATAGCAAATGAGAACCAACACCTACATCTAACCAAATGATGGAGTGTAGATTATAATTTATCAGGGATTTTTTTTTTATTCTAACATATAGAGAATCTGAAAACAACTGTCAAAGCCTTGAAGGGGTTGCCATTCTAAATAACGGATTTCTAGCCTTGGCCATGAAAATGATCACTTTACAATTTTTCAGTACTAAAGATCCCTCTGATGATTAAAATCTGTTAGTACACTTTTAAAAAAGAGAATAATCCAAGTGATGTAAACATATTTTTAAATTCTAATATCTACTATGCCACAGTTCAGTGAGAGGCTGCCTGATGCAGCACAGAGTACTCACTTGGGAGGCAGGAAACCTCAGTTCTAATCCCAGCTCTGCTACTTAATTGGCTGTGTGACTTGGATAACTCATCTCACCTCTCATGGCCCCAGGTTCCTCATCTGCAAAATAAGGGGGCTTTGCTAGATGACCACTTAGGTCTCTTCCTGCTCTAACATTCAGGCAGTCTACTGCAGTTAACTCCAGTGATACACACTACAGACATAAGCCTCTCAAGATTTCTGCACAATATTCAAGCAAGTAAAACTGCCAACCACCTCTAAAACTTTTTTGGAAAACACTGCAGCAATGTGCATGAAAGCCTAAAGACCTTATGGATGACAGCATCTATCTGATAATTTCACTTCTGAGAATCTAGTCCAAGGAAATAATCTACAGGATGGGGGGGAAATGTTTATCAAAATATGATCTGGGATGCTAAGATGATGCAAAAATTCAAAAACAACCAAATGTCCCACAGTCGGGAAATGACTGAATAATTTATGGGACCTACACTGGGATCCACAATGATGGGCCAGCCACTCAAAAGAAGATACAAAATTAGAATAATATTTAGGAAGAGTTTTTAAATGGAACTGGAAAACTACACTGTTAAGTAATTAAACATGAACAGTCCTAGTCCAAGTAGACGCTGGTACATACAGGAGAAAAAGATGGCAGGTGAAAGGGTTCAGCGAATATTATTTTCTTCACTAAAGTCTTCTATGTTTGCAATTTTTCTACAACAGTCACGTATTACTAAGAGCAGTAGGGTGGGGTAATTCCAATCATCCTAATCCTACACACCTTAAACAAAAATGCCCGCTATTCACGCGCCGGGGCACAAACGCGGACACATAGAAAACCTCTGGCGATAGGACTTAAGACCATACAAGGGGTTCCCCGACTAGACAACTCGGTAATTCAGGTTAGTCCAGTCCTTAATTCCTGTGGTTAGGCGCAGCCACTCCGATGTAGGGTAGGCTTCGCAATTCTCTGAAGCCTGGAAGAATCCAGGCAAAGCCTAGGCCTAGATTCGGGATCCGCTTTCCCGCCGAATCCTGGGATTAGCGCTGGGGTTCCCTTGGGGAATTTCGATAACCTCCGAACAACTTCGTGCAGTCTCGAACGCCAAATCGACGCCAGCCGGGACGGTGCCGCTCCTCTCGGCGCAGTGTAGACGCCTCGCTGACGGCGGTTCCAGGCGCCCACCAACAGATCACTCCCGGCCATTACGTGCACACAGAGCTTGGAAGCGGCATTTCGCGGGGACCCACCACCCAGCAGTCCCTCCCCGGAGCCCCAGCCCGCTCCCCGCAGGCCGTTTCCGAGGCTGCTCGGCTCGCGCAGCCACGCGGCTCACCTCGTCGGCGGGATCCAAAATCCTCACTACAGGTGCCCCAAGAGCCCGGGCTCCGCGGACTTCATCGAATCGAAACCGAAACCGGCGAGGCAGCGGTACTTTTCTGCCTCAGCCAATCAGTGTTCTTCTCTGCTACGGCAGCCCGCTGGGGCCGAAAAGGCCGGTCCGCGCCAAAGCGCTCAAATCCAAGAATCCTGGTTGGTTTGTCCAGTGGCGAAATTGGTGCAAAGGAATTCCTCTAACAGAAATCCGGATACAACACAAATACAATTCAATACAAAACAAAAACAAAAATCCAGAAAGCTAGAAGTGATCTTTTGGGCAGGATTTATTTGCAGTGTAAAAAATAACTTGAAGTCATAGAAAACTGGAATTTACAGTTTTAAGTAACTGCCGTGTGTACCCAGAAACGTCCTTGAATAGTTTAAAGCAAACAAATAAATAAAACAAACACCTCAAGTCTTTAAATCTGCCTCTGGATATTGATTAAATGTGTGAAGACTTAAGCCATTTTAGCAAGAGACTGTTTCCATGGCAATGTTAATTGATACGAAAATAATTAAAACCACTCAAGTAACTCCGAATTATAATGACGTTAATTGTGTTACATTATAAACTAGTTCCAATTGAAAATGGTGTGCAGACATTAGCTAAGTGCTACCTGTGGGAACTTGGTTTGGAATTTTGCATGAATTCTCAATACTCTTGCTATTAATAGGATTGGAGAGGAAAAAGAAGAGAACAGTCACACCAGGACTTGGTTCCTTTTTCCCTGTCACATACTTTCATCAGCTGAAAACTTATACTTTATTTTATTTATGATTTGTAACACTATACACAAAGTGATAAGATCTTCCAACACAGATCCTTAACTCCATTAAGTGTTATAAAATCTAAGATGCAGAATGTTTTTCTAAGATAAAGAGTTTCTCCCTTGTATCCCTCTTTTGGCTAAAGGCAGAAGAAATGAACCCTTGGTATCAGGGACAGAAAGCAACTGGATGTGATTTGGTAAAGAATAGAGACTTCCTTATATCCTTCTACAAAAGCTCAGTTTGGGTAAAGACAAAACCGTTACAGACTTATTAAGAGGGCTGTATTTGAAGTTCTTGCAATATAAAATATAATGTAAATAAAAATTTTAAGAAAAGTGCCATTAAAATTAAATAATTAGTTGCAAAGAACAAACATGATAGGATAAAAAGCCCTGTCCCTAAAAACATTCTTTGCAAAAGACATCAAATTGCACACTCCCTACTGGTTGTTTCAATTATTCAAAAAACAGTAAGTTTTTGATTCAAATTTCTTTCCCTTTCCTACAGACCCCTGATGGAGCGATTAACACTGGTGTGGTGGGTAGGGAGCCATGAGGAGTTTAAAGGCCTCGTTCATCTGAGGAGCAGCTGCAATCTTCTCCAAAGGGAGTAGCTGGGTATGGGGCCGGCTTGACATACGGGGTGGGCATCCTGAATTATTTAATGAGCTAACAAGCTTATAAAAAGTGTGCCTGTTCCAAAAAGCCCCTTAGCAGCTTATAACTGACTTTTACTAACTCACAAGGCAATTTTCCATATTTCCCAGGTTTTTGCTTTCAGCATCTTTTTTGATGCAAAGAAAACATTGCAAGACTTTTTGTGAAATACTAGTCTTCCAAACCCGGAATGTAAACATTAATTTATTAAGAGCCTTAAAGTCATAAAAATATTTAAGCAGAGGTTTAGTTTAATGTGTGTGGTTTAGTTTAACTTACCTAATTTAGTTTTGTTTAGTTGTTAGATCTGATAAACCTATGCTGACACATCATTATTACCCAAAGGCCAAGGTCTACATTAGGGTTCACACTTAGTGTTGCGCATTCTATAGGTTTCAACAAATGCACAATGAAATGTACCCACAATTACAGTATCATAGGAATAGTTTCACTGCCCTAAAAATTCTCTGTGCTTCACTTATTTATTCCTTCCTCCCCACTAACCACTGGCCACTACTGATCTTTTTTTCTGTCTCCATAGTTTTGCTTTTTCCAGAATGGCATACATTTGGAATCATACTATACAGTTGGTGGTGCATACCCTGCACTACCGCACCACGTAGCCTTCTCAGACTGGCTTCTTTCACTTAGAAATATGCATTTAAGACCACTCTATGCCTTTTCATGGCGTGACAGTTCATTTAAGTTCTGAATAATATTCCATTATTTGGATGTACCACAGTTTATCCATTTACCTACTAAAGGATAAGGATATCTTGGTTGCTTCCAAGTTTTGGTAATTATGAATAAAGCTGTGACAAATATTTGTGTGCAGGTTTTTGTGTAGAAATAAGTTTTCAGCTCATTTGGGCAAATATCAAGGAGTATGATTACTGGATCATATGGCAAGAGTATGTCTAGTTTTGTAAGAAACTGCCAAACTGTCTTACAATGTGGCTGTACCATTTTGCCTTCCCACTAGCAGTGAATGAGAGTTTTCATTGTTTCCCATCTTCACAGACATTTGGTGATTCCAGTCCTTTGGATTTTGACTAGTCTACTAGCTGCTTAGTTATATCTCATAGTTGTTTAAAGTTTTCATTCCCTAGTGACATATGATATGGAAGATCTTTCTATATGCTTATTTGACATATGTATATCTTCATTGGTTTTTCAGGTCTTTAGCCCAATTTTGAATCAGTTTGTTCTTTTTTTGTTGTTCAGTTTTAAGAGTTCTTTGTGTATTTTAGATAATAGTTCTTTATCAGATATTTCTTTTACAAATATTTTCTCCCAGTCTATGGCTTGCCTTTTCATTCTCTTAAAGCTATTATGCTTAAAATAGACAAATGTGGATATAAAAATGCTAAAGGGCACTCTTGCCACTTCATTGTTTGCCTCATACTTCTACAGTTCTGTAGTACATATGCCTTTAAATAACTATGCCATTTAGTGTTTAGTATTCATAAGAGAAGGTCTCATATGTAGCTTATTAAACACCCAACAGCCCTGTGAACATGCAGGTGAATGTTGCATTATGTTGTTGTGGTGGTGGTGGTTGTTGATGATGATAATGATAAATGCAAACATGTAATTGGATTGACCAACACTCTCCAAAGCAGATTTTCATACCTGACATGGATGTTAAGCTTCTAAGAATACTGGCTGGTATTGTTGGAGCAATGCATTAACTTCATACAGTGCTGGCATGGACTTGAACCTCTCCTGGACCTTCAAACTGTACAATGGGAGCTCATAAGCTGTGATGTCCTTTAGCTTTAGACACTTGGGCCACTATTGTTTCCCTTTAATTGTGGGATATGAAAATTATTTGTTAAATAAAATAAGGAGAGGCCAGGTGCAGTGGCTTACACCTGTAATCCCCAGCACTTTGAAAAGCCGAGGTGGGAGGATTACTTGAGGTCAGGAGTTCGAGATCAGCCTGGCCAACATGTTGAATCTCGTCTCTACTTCAAATTTAAAAATTAGCCAGGTGCGGTGACTCACGCCTGTAATCCCAGCACTTCGGGAGACTGAGGGGGGCAGATCACCTGAGGTTGGGAGTTTGAGATCAGCCTGACCAACATGTCAGCCGTACTAACATGGAAAAAACCCCTCTCTACTAGAAATACAAAATTAGCCAGGTGTGGTGGTTCATGCCTGTAATCCCAGCTACTTGGGAGGCTGAGGCAGGAGAATCGCTTGAATCCGGGAGGTGGAGGTTGTGATGAGTTGAGATTGCACCATTGCATTCCAGCCTGGGCAACAAGAGTGAAACTGCGTTGCAAAGAAAAAAAAAATTCAAAAACTAGCTGGGTGTAGTGGCACACATCTGTAATCCCAGCTACTTGGGAGGCTGAGGCATGAGAATCTCTTGAACCCAGGAAGCTACGGTTGCAATGAGACAAGATCTTGCCACTGCACTCCAGTCTGGATGACAGCGAGACTCTTGAGAGAAGGAAAGAGAGAAAGAGACAGAGAGAGACAGAAAAGAAAGAAAAAAAAAGGAGATGAAGAAAGAAAGAAAGAGAGGAAGGAAGGAAGGAAGGAAGGAAGGAGAGAGGGAGAAAAGCGGTGGAGGGAGGGAGGGAAGGAAGGAAGGAAGGAAGGAAGGAAGGAAGGAAGGAAGGAAGGAAGGAAGGAAGGAGAGACACTCTAGTTGTTGAATATCTTCTGAGAAGTAATATAAGCTTATTGACCGGTGGGCAAATTTCTCTGAAAAAGTAGTATGTCTTTTATGTTTACCCAAAGAAGGGATATATTCTACATTAGGGGCACTTTCAGATGTAACGTGAGATGTTTAAATAATGTTCAGACTTCATCAGCCATCGTTTTGGCATGACTTGAATTTTTAAAGAGATAGGATCAGAGTCTAAACTCCTGGAAGGAGAGTCTCCCGAATGCTGTGATGCTTTATGCTCCACGGTGAACTCCAGAAAACCTCTCTCAGCTGTAAAATTCAGTGAAATCGGTGTGAAGCTGCCCTTGTATTTTAATCAAGATGAACTTGAAAGGTGAACATTATAAGTGGGAGAAATTATTTATAATTTGGTAATAAAAGTTTATGTCTAACACTCCAAATTTCCTGCATCTGCTATGTGCTGGCCCTGAGATATAAAACAATTGAAGTTGCCTTTACATTTGGCCTTATATGAAAGGTCATAAATTAGAGTGATAGCGTTCGTCCTCTTTCCTAGCTCACAAAATTTCCATATTAACATCTTCACCTCAAACATAAATGGTTACCCAGCTACAAAGAAAA